AAAAGTAAAAACCCCCGAACAAAGTAAATCGTCGTGGAGCCCATTCCAGCGCAGTGACTGACGTTACAGGCAGTTAGAACTGGCCCGTAGGGTTTCGAAGCTGCCCATCTTTATGGAATTAGACAATCTCCCCGTAGTGGCAGCTGGTGAGCGCTACCTGCCGCCCTTTGAGGTAGCAGTGAAGTACTTACCCACTGGGGCACCAGGGATCCGCGATTGCAAGACGCCGCCTTAAGAGGGCAGAGATGAGGGCCAGTGGGAATAGCTGACGGTTTATTGGTATCCATCCAGCAGTTCTGCAGGGATGTTACACCGCTGGATGAAGCTGGGCCCTGACACACCTGGGAGAGGCCTCGTGGCATGGGTTGCCAGTGGTCTTGGCATTTTGCCTTCCCATCGTGCCTGTCCTACCTGGCCAAACCCTCACAGTGTGAAAAAATACTAATTCCAGGGCTCCCCTCAAGCTAGAGAAGATGGTTTTCACAAGCCCCGCCCCCAGATTCATTTGGTTGACATTGGAGAACTGTCAGATGTAATAACCCCTATTCAGTACGTTCGAATCTGGGGAGTTGGGGGAGTGTCTCTGTGTGTAGTTCAAGCTATCCCTCCCCTTCATCCTGTAGGGCAGAGACATACGATAGTTAACTTTGAGACTGCCGCTCAGGTGATGACCCGTTTATTTCCTGCCCAGTCAAGTTCACACCGGCTGCCCTGATGGCATAGTGCCTTCCTTGTGAGTTGGTTTGCTAACCACAAGGTTGGCAGTTGGAGGAAACCACTAGCCTCTCTCCGTGGGAGAAAGATGAGGCTTTCTAACAACCCCCACCCCTAACCCCAATAGAACCCGTCTGGGCAGTTCTACTCTATCTACAGGGTCACTATGAGTTGGAATTGGCTGGGCAGTGAATTTGGCTTGGGGTTGGCTAGTTCACACACTTGCTTTTGCTTTTTATAATGGAGGAAACAGACCCAGAGAAGTCCCATGATCTGCCCTGGCACAGCGTATTTTGGTCCAACCCAGGCCCTAAGCTTTTCTTTTTGTATTATAGCACGTTATTTTAGGGAGAGAAAGGGAGTTTATAAATAATCTCTCTATATCAATAGTCTTAAGCTTTCCTTGTCCAGAACATGCAGGAAACTGAAGCTTTGGTGCCACCTGGGGCCCAGGTTTGGGCTTCAGAACTTCCAACTACAAACTTCATTCTCCGATGATTTGAGGACTGAAGATTCAGTTAATAAATACATAAAATCTGAAGTAGCTCTTTTAAGATATGCCTAGCAGAGGTGCTCATCAGAGAACACTTCAAAGTAGACATTAAATATTCAGAAATGAACTAAAGGTCTAATGCATAGGCTGCATAATAACCCCCAACACTATTGAAGGGAACTTAGATGTAGTTCCTCACCAAGACAGTGTGGACTAGTAGAGGGAGTTGTTGCTGTGTATTTAACTGTACCCCTGGCTAGCTGTCTGGGAATGTGGCAGCTTTTTCTTGAAGCTGACCATCAGGTTCTATGGGGAGGTCATTTGGTTAAATACGTGGCTCTTTTTGTATGTGTGTGAATGATACCAATGCGCCATTTAATTTTATGTTTAAAGTGTTTTATTGGGTTTTAGATGAAAGTTTACTGAGCAAATTAGGTCCCCATTTAAGAACTTTTATGTAAACTGTTCTATGGCATTAGTTACAATTTTTCCCATGGGTCGGCATTTTCATTATTCCCATTCTGTCGGTTGTTTCTAGTCCCGTTGACCTCCATTCCTCATCTTTGCTTTTGGGTAAATGTTGACCATTGGGTCTTACATTGTTGATTGTTGAAGGGAGCGCTTAACTCACGATATTACTTATTTTATAAACCAACCTATTATTTGGAAGGGGAATTCAGTTCCAATTTCAAAAGGTTTCTTAGGGTGACAGTCTTCGAGTTTTAGGCTCTTATCAATCCAGAAAAATGAGGCCTGTTTTAGGAATGTGTCTGATATTTTCCTCTGTGTGGGATCTTCTATTATCTGATCAGAATGGTCAGTATTGGTGGCTGGGCACCATCTAGTTCTTCTGGTCTCAGACTGGAAGAGACATTAATAAAGAATTAATCATTAGTTAATAAAGAATTAATAATAAATAAGAGATTAATAAAGGCTCTTTATTAATCACGTGGACTAGTTTTTAAATTTGAGCTAGACCTACTATTTTAGAAAAATATATTTGAACAGTGAAAAAAAACCAGTATAAAGAATGGTGCCCAATTCACCTGGCATTACTATCTCTGTCTCTGCCAATGTGGCTCTCAACGGGGGCTGCACTACAGAATTGCCTGGGAGGTTTACAGTGTGCAGAAACTCTTCTGATTTCCTTGCTGCTGCCTCTGTTCGAGGAGCTCTGGCGGCATAGTGGGTTACACCTCAGGAGGAAGATGAGGCGTTCTGCTCCCGTGAAGATATACAGCCTTGAGGGCTGAGATAGTTTATTGTGCAAGCCTGGCCGATAAACACAAGTGGGATTAACTGAAGGGCAGAGAGATAAATGGCTTGGTGAGTCTCGCCTTTCTTGTCTCTCGCTCTTTGATCATCGGACCAGTGTGCGGCTGCCTTGCTTGTCCTGTGCCTCAATTTAAAGGCTACACTACCTGTGGGACGCCTAGCCTGTGAACTGTGTCGCTGTAAGTTGAGGTCCCTTTAAGAGATCGCTGGAGCTGGGGACTGGCAGTTGGTGACCTGGCTGGCAGTTGGTGACCTGCCTTCTGATTGGCTGCTGTGCTGACTTAGCCTAGCTCTCTCTATAAATAGAAGAAGATCTGGCAGCAGACAGGACTTGAAGGACTGCTGGTCTCTCACAACTCTCTCACGGGAGTGAGTTGAATTGAGCCATTTGTAGTGCTTTATAATTTAACTGTTTCTTTCTTGTATTATATATTTATCTGTATATGATTTAACAGTTCATTTCTTGTTATATATCTAATTATCCTTATAAATAAATATATTAAATTATCAGCAATTTGGTTTTATCTCTCTAGAGAACCCTGTCTAACACAAGGGCCATTCTGCCCTGCCCTATAGGTCACTGTGAGTGGGGATCAACTGGATGGCCGTAAGTTTGGGGGTCAGTTCAGGGATGGTTTTTTTAAAGCTTCCTAGGTATTTCTGGTATCCACTTAGGGGTGAATCTATACAAAGTAATTAGTAATGATGACAGCTAAGAGCTTCAGAGTTTTGAAAGCACAGCTCAAATACAAGCATAACAAAGAACCTGATTCCACCTACCAGGAAACGACCAAAAGTTAACTCAGAAATATGAATACAGACCATACCCAGTGTAACTATGAAAGGATAATTAATGATCACGTATCACAGAAGTACAAACATAAGAGTCCACAAATAGACTGATGAGACTGAAGACAGTGCCTATTAACATTAGGGAAATGAAACTTATTAGAACAAGGGAAATGAAAAGAGTATTTCAACACACAGGATAAAGGAATCGTCATGTGCAATGTCAAGAAAATGCCTAAGGAGAAGCCCCAGCACGCTATGGTTCAGGAAAAAGGTTAAACGAATGTCTTAACAATTGACATGAAGGGGAAATCCTGGTAGTAGTTATTTGGAAAGCACATAAACTTGCTACTCCTTAATCAAAAGCCAGATAGTAAGGTGACAACCTTTTGTATCCATCAGGTCGAAAAATGAGGGGAAGAAAGTATGAAGGCAGTCAGTGGCACAGGTGCCAGCGAGCAGACACACGTATATGTCACCAGGACCCCTGCTGGTGGGGTTAGCTGTCGGGACACTAACCTTGACCTCAAGGTCTGTGGTTCGAACCCACCAGCAGCTCCAAGGGAGAAGGATGAGCCTTTTTACTCCTATAAAGATGGATAAGTTTGGAAATCGATAAGGGCATTTCTCTTCTGCCCTGTAGGGTCGCTATGAGTTGGAATTGACTCGCCTGCAGGGAGTTTGGTTTGGGGTTTTGGTAGCAGACAGATTGGGCGCATGGGCTAAGTAAGCATTAATCATTATCACACCCACTGCCATCAAGTTGATCCCGACTCAGAGCGATCCTGTTGTAGAACCACTCCCTAGTGTTTCTGGTACTGTACATCTCTATGGGAGCAGACAGGCTTGTCTTGGAGCCGCTGGTGGGTTTGAACCGCTGACTTTTGAATGAGCAGCCTGCCACACCTAACCCACAGTGCTACCAGGGCCCCTCTGAATAACCATGGTTATTGCAAGTCAGCACAACTGACCTGGGGAGTTTGGCCATATGCTTCAAAGATTATTATTTTTCCAGTCCTTCATCCTGTAATATGCATTCCATCTTACGGATCTGCCACATTTGTGCATGCATTTATCTGATGACAGACAGCACTTGGATTGTTTCCACTTTGGGGACATTTTGAAAAATGCTGCTATAAATATTCATTGACAGGCTTTTATAGGAACGTATATTTTCAATTATCTTGGATGTATAGATGTCTATGTACTTCAAAGAGTTTGTGGGGAAATTCCATTTTCTATTTATTTTAAAAAATCATTTTATTGGGTGCTTGTATAACTCTTATCACAATCCATCCATCCATCCATTGTGTTAAGCACACTTGTACATTTGTTGCCCTCATCAGTCTTAAAACATTTGCTTTCCACTTGAGCCCCTGGTATCAGCTCCTAACTTTTCCCCTCCTTCCCCGCCCCCATTTCAAAGGTTCTTTTAAAAGCTAGTTTGGCTTAAAAATTTCCCTTCTGAAAGTTCATTTTTAAGGAGCTATGCCCAAAGAAGAGGAGCCCTGGTGGCAGTGTTTGGTAAGCCTGTGGTTAGCTATGCTAACCACAAGGTCACCGGATCAAACCCATCAGCATCTGTAGGGGAGAAGGATGGGGCCTTGGAAACTCTATTTAGGGTTAATGATCAGTGGGTTTGGTTCAAAGAAGAAAACGTTGATGTTCCTCATTTCTTACAATAGGGAGAAATTGGAAATAAGGTTAACTGGGAGAAAAAGAGGACGAAATAATTTAACATCCGAACACTGTTCCCAAACCCACAGGCACGTCGGTGAGCGCTGCGGCGGTTAGGTCTGGCCTGCAAGCATCCTTGTTGAGCACTCGCGTTGTTTGGGTTCTGTCCCAGGGACTTTTCACATATAGTCTAATTTGGCCTTCCCAACAATCCTATGAAGTATGGTTTATTATGAGTCCTAATTTATCGATGGGGAAACGGAGGCAAAGTGGGAGCTCATACACTTAACCCGTAACTTTACCGGAACACTGCTCCCGCTGAAAACTTTACAGAAGAAGCTTAAAAGACCGGGCAGTGATCGATATAGATCATTCGCCTAAAGAAAAGGGCCTTAGTAGATTAAGGATTATACATGGTAGATTTCGCTAACACGGTGACCTAAGTAAGGGCACATTGGAAGCTGTACCACTGGTATTTCAAATGCCAGCTTGGTCACACATCGGAGACAGGATTTGTGGCGTTTCCAGACTGAGACTAGAAAGAAAGCTTAGCAGCTTTCTGAAGATTAGTGAAGACTTTGTGGATGGCTAGCAAATAGCCGCAGCAATGGATCAGACAGCTTACAGACCATGAAGATGGTGTGGGAGCAGGCAGGGTTCTGGTCTTCTTTTTAAAAAAAATCATTTTATTGGGGGATCGTACAATTCTTATCACAATTCATCCATCCATCCATTGTGTCAAGCACATTTGTACAGTTGTTGCCATCATCATTCTCAAAACATTTTCTTTCTATTTGAGCCCTTGGTATCAGCTCATTTCCCCCCCTCCCGCCCCCACCCTCCCTTCCCTCCCTCACCCTTGATAATTTATAAATGATAATTATTTTTAGGGTTCTGTTCTTATTGATAGGAATGGACCATGAAGTTGAGTGGACTCATGTAACTAAGAACAGGCTGTACAGAGAATAAGTCGTTATCCTTTTCCCCCCTTCTTGCACAGACTCTAGAGGGTAAATTCAGATAAAACAATAGCTAGCCATGGCCCTGTTGGTTTATATGAATCACTGTCCAAAACTTTACCCATAGGTTCCCAAACTATTTGGCCTACTACCCCCTTTTTAGAAAAAAGAAAAAGAAAGAAATTACTCAGCACCCCCTTGGCCATTAAAAACTTTTGTATCTAGCCCACAGTCCAGGATAAAATGTAGGTTATCTGCCTTTGCAGCCTCCCTGCTGGATCATTCCAGCACCCCCCAGGGGGCAGGATCACTGCTAGGAAAGGCTGCTCTAGCCGACCTGACCTCCTTGGCTGACATTGCTGTAGAAGGTACACCATCTGTGTGCCACCCCAAGAACACCCAGGAAACTATCGGGGGAGCTGTAAACTACGTGAACGTGGAAGCAGTTGTTTTTTCTGCCCTCCGGGCAAAGGGTCATCCTGCCCCTTATCCGTAACAAGTGTCCCATGGAAACTGGAAGGAGCTTCAGAACTCGAAACCAGAGTGAGGTGGCCGAAAGCAGTGCTTCTCAAACTTGACAGCATGCGCACCTCACCCCAGACTCCCGCTAGCACGCAAACTCTGAATCAGAGCTCTGGGGTCCGTATTTCTGAACAGCTTGGCTCAGAGTTGAGTAACAAAATGGAGGGGATATTCTGGACTTTGGGATCAGACACATGGAGATCAAAATGAGTATTTAATGACAAAGCTGCGGCCGTTGTTGTGTTGTTGTTGGGTGCCGTCAGGTCAGTTCTGACGCACAGCGCCGTGTGCACACCAGAGGGAAGCACTGCAGGTCCTGTGCCAGCCTCACGATTGGTCCTGTGCCAGCCTCACGATTGGTCCTGTGCCAGCCTCACGATTGGTCCTGTGCCAGCCTCACGATTGGTCCTGTGCCTGAGCCCATTGCTGCGGCCACAGCGTCACTCGTCTTGTTGAGGCCCTTCCTCTGTTTTGCTGCCCTTCTACTTGACCAAACATGCTGTCCTCCTCCAGGGACTGGTCTCTCCTGACATGTCCAAAGTATGTAAGACAAAGCCTCTCCATCCTTGCCTCTAAGTAGCGCTCTGGCCATACTTCTTCCGAGACAGATTGGCTTGTCCTTTTGGCAGTTTGTTCAGTAATGGTCTTCTCCAGCACCATGATTCAAATGTATCAATTCTTCAGTCGTCTTTATTCAGTGTCCAACTTTCACATGCATATGAGGCCATTGAAAATAGATGGCCTTTGGAATTGATCTAATTCTTGTGAGGTTTAATTTCTTCACCTGTAACATGGAGCAAATGCCTAGATCAGGAGGTTGTCTTAATTTCAAGCCAGGAGATATGTGGAAGCTGCTAGATTCAGTGCCCGCCATGGCTTACTTTCTGTCGTCGAGTTGATTCTGACTCACAGCGACCCTGTCGGACAGAGGAAAACTGCTCCCTTGGGTTTCTGAGATTGTCACGCTTGACCAGAGTAGAAAACCTCATCTTTCTCCCTTGGAGTGGCTGGTGGTTTTGAACTGCAGTCTTCAAGATTAGCAGCCTAACATGTAACATATAACCTACTGCACCACCAGTCCTTGCTAATTATAACTTCCAAACGTAAACAGTTCTTTTCACGCTGACTGAGTGGTGTTGACAGAATCCTTGTTTGTAGTAGACAACTGCCATAGGGGAACTGTGTATATGTGTGTGCGCACCTCTGTAAACGAGGTAAGGGGGGTGAGACACTAAAAGCCCCTAGAGGGGGCGTGGGGAGTTCCCAGAGTGCTCATCTGCTATCGAAATGTCGGTGGTCCAAATCTACTGAGCATCTGTGCGGGAGAAAGGCCTGGCAGTCTGGTGTTATGAAGGGTCCAGACTAGAAACCCCTTTGAGGGCAGTTCTGCTTTGTCACCTGGGGTTGCTAAGAATTGACAAAATAACCCCCGACAACAGCAGGGTGAGCCTTTTGTTCGCACCTTGTTTTAACACAACTTTCAGGTGCTTTATTGTTATTATTTTATGTAAACTTCTTATTCTAACTCTTCCCAGATTTAGACAAAAAAAGGCACGTCGAGCTGAAGATGGATCAGGCTTTGCTGCTCATCCAAAATGAACTCCTTGGAACAAGCTTGAGTGTCTACTGGACTTCCGAGTGCTGTTATCACGTATGTGTGCCTCGTGTGCTTTTATGGGGTGTCTATTGGACTTGAGAGCACTGTTATCACATGTGTATGCCTCATGTGCTTTTATGGCGTGTCTGTTGGACTTCCGAGCGCTGTTATCATGTATGTGTGCCTCGTGTGATTTTATGGCGTGTCTGTTGGACTTCCGAGCGCTGTTATCATGTATGTGTGCCTCGTGTGATTTTATGGCCTGTGGGGGTTCTTGGATGTGATCCTTACTATCTAAAGCACCTCACATTTTCACAGAGAAGTGAAAATAGGCAACAAACGGAGACAGAGGGAAATACAGTCGGGAGAAACATCAGTTTCTTCTTTTATTTTTAAGTGTTGGACTGCGAACCACAAGCTCAGCAGTTCAAACCCACTAGCTGCTCTTAGAAAAACGCCTGTCTGCAAAGAGTGACTGAGCCTCAGAAACTGTCTAGTAAAGGGGGTCACGCTGAGTATGAAGCGGTTCAATGGTGCTGGATTTGGAGATGCTCATCTTTTTTAAAAGTACCTCTCCGTGATGAGCAAATGGAGAATATTTTTTAAAATCTTACTTCTTTTTCCTAAAACATAGTTTTCCAAGCGTGCTTGGTGTCTGTCTCCTCTTCAGAAAAACAAAAACTACTCGGCATCCCCCTGGCGATGCAAAGAGTTATTAGTAAAGACAAAGTGGAGGTGTCTGCTTCTGCAGCCCCGCTGGATCCTTCCAGCACACACTCCTGGGAGGGGCGGTCTAAGACATGATGCAGTTGCCACCACGCCTTGGGAGACAGGTGAGACTGCCCACTCCTGTACAGTTCACCGCCTCTTACGGTCTCAGAACCCCGAGGGAGCAGTCGGGCTCCATCCTCTGGGGCCTCTATGAGTGAGAATCAAGCTGGCAGCAGGGCATTGGTAGATGAGAGAAAGAAGGAAGCAAAGGGCTAAGCAACTGGGTGTTCTCAAGCAGTCACAACTGACTTGGGGAACCAGCTCCGGTGGTGATAGGAATTCATCTGGCGATTTCTATTCCAGTCTCAAACTTTGCTGCTTTTTAAGGACAATGCTCTTCTTCCATGTAACATAAACTGCTCTTTATTTCCAGTCTGGGAGCTTTATTTTGCTTCCTTTCAGAGGAAGAAATTTAATGCATACTGACCTGCTTACTGTAAGCTGCTTTAAAAACAGGGGAGAAGGGGGGTTGAAATGGGGAACCGACTATAATGATTGATGTATAACTGCCCCACCCCCAGGGGGGATGAACAACAGAAACATGTTGAAGGGAGGCAGCGGACAGTGTGAGATATGAAGATAATAATAATTTATAATTTATCAGGGGTCCACGAGGGTGGGAGGTTGGGGGAGGAAGGGAAAAAAGAGGAGCTGGTACCAAGGGCTCAAGCAGAAAGAAAATGTTTTGAAAATGATGGTGGGAGCTTGTATACAAATGTGTCTGATACAATTGATGTATGGAATGTTATGAGAGCCGGAAGAGCCCCCAATAAAATGAATTATTTAAAAAAACATAAAAAGGAACCCAATGGGGGCCCCAGATGAAAAGATGAAACAGATGCATGGTCCTGCCACAGCCTGATCAGATAGCTTAAAAGGGCTGCAAAATAAAATCAAAGAAAACCTACAATGTTAAAGAAGGACCTCAAAGCAAAGAAAGCAATGAACAGTCCACAAGCATCTAGATAAAGATAAACCCCAAATTTAAAAAATAATACTAGCTGACATTAGAACTTATCAAGATTTACTGGCCATTTAGAGAATGGGTAAGATGCTTTCTAAAAAGATTGCAGAAAGGTCCACACAACTCAAGGAAGAAGAAGTTGAGATGGGCAAGATGTCCTTGTCCGGACTTAGCACAGTGCTGGAGACAGTATCATCAGAATACAAAAGAAGTGCAATCGTTGGCTCAAAACTTTGATTCAGGAGTGAATTTGAAAGAGAGAATGTATTAGTCTAGGTACTTTGGAGAAACAAATCCACAGCAACTCATGTATAAGAGAGTTTTATGTAAAGAAAAGGTGCATCACGAAAACATCCCTACCCAATGCTGCCCAAGCCCACAAGTCCAACATTAATCCATTAACCCAACACCAGTCCACAAAGTCCTCCACCTCACAAAACAGAGGCAATGATGCCAACTGCAGGAGGAAAGCTGAGTCAGTGAACGAACAAGCATCTCAGCACTGGCAGGGGTCTCCACACGGCTGCTCCAGCACCCAGGGCTGCATCGGGATAGGTCCATGTGGCTTCTCTTTGGGGATGTCTTGTAGGAAGTCAATCTTGCAAGCTGAAGCAGGGAACTGCTAAGGCAGCTGCACCCTGGTGCGACCATCACAAAACAAGAGACCCGAGAACTAGAAAGGCGAGGCTTTACCACCCATTTATCCCTCCGCCTTTCAACCAGCCCCACATGTGATTATCGGCCAGGCTGGCACAATTAACTAACTCAGAGAAGAATCTATTAGCTAGATGATACTAGTTCAAGAGAAAAATCACCAACTTATTTAAAAGTGCATGGAGGTCATTATGTCTAAAGAAAATGTGTAAAGGAGTGGTGCCCTGTTTGCACTCATAAGATAGAAGATGCTTCATAATTGTCAAAAAGATCCTCGTGTGAAAATGGAAAGGATACGTGTGACCCATTAAAGGCCAATGATGTGTAGACATAGACTACTGTAAACTGGACTGTAATGAGACTTTAAATATCTAAGTAAATGTCGTTTACAAGGGAGTCCGGTATTCATTGAAAGGCATGCGAACTCCAATAGCACAGGAAGACCTGGTGTAAGTGCTAACCTTATTGCCAGTAATCGTAAATGAGGTTTGTGGCAAGACTCAAATAGAAAGAGAAGACAGGTAATTTGGAAATCATCTGTATGTCTTTCACAAAAACATTGACCAGGAGGTAGCTCATAAAAGGACAGAGAAGATGCAGGAGCTCTACATCCCACAATCTCATGCCTCCGTGCAATAAAAAGCAAATGATCTGATTGGAGACTATCGCATAAACATAAGTATTTCCTTGAAAGATTCTTAAACTCGGCCAAAGCAAATTTTAGGGAAGACGTTGATTTAAGTGTTTATTGTGGAAAAGGTGAAAATAATAAAAGTTGTAGCTTCTGCTTTCTGAGGGCCTGCTTCTGTGTCTTACTATATTACCGCGCCTTTCATCCGTACACGGTGGGGTGAGGCATTATGTGGGTTTTGTCTGTGGCGATCCTGAGATGAGGAGAGACACACCGACTTCCCCCAGAGACCCAGGCACATGAGCTGGGACTCACACCGCCCTCGACATTCAGAGACTGGGTTCTCAGGGGCTGCCTTGGATGAAGGGGCTTCAAAGAGTTGGTGAAAAAATGGAATGGAAAGATAACGGA